ATCCTTTTCCATATCTACACAAGTCTCCCTACATTTTTCTAATTAAGTCTGTTCTTCCTCAAGCACCTATATTCAAAAAGTGTTTTAAACTTGTTTCTATTCAGTTTAACTTCGCTCTTAGTTATTTATATTTGGCTGCCAGTATTATAATAGCATGTTCTCTGCAATTTATCATTGTAAACATGAAAAATTTAATAAAATTTAATTCCAGCAATCATGTCAGATTTCTTATGGAACTAAATAGAATTTATCACTCTGTTTCTATGAGAAAGTATAATTCAGGTTCCAAAAGTACAACTTACAAATGAACACATCTCATGTGAAAACTGAGGACTTCTTTCCTTGTTTTGCTATATGCTGGGGTCTCCAAAGAAAAGTGTAAGGTAGCAAGACAAAAATACTGAGCTGGTTAAAGAAAGTCCTAAAATTCTATGTATTCATTATCTCGTACTTTTCAATTATTATTTTTATATTTCTTTTATGATATTCAAAATATACTTGTATTATGGTACATATAATTTTGAAAAGAAACTTTTTTAAGAATCAATACTCAGGAGTATTTTGAGGATGAATTGGGGGTATAGATAAAAATTTTGGAAAGCAACAGGAGAGACCATAGGATTCAAATTTTGGAACTTGAAAAAGACTTTTTGAAGCCTTTCCCCTCCAAAAAAAAAAGCACTGTTTTTAAACCTTTATCAACATTACATGTCTTTTTACAGAGAAAAGCCCCTAAAACAGGGATTCACAACTAGAGTTAAGGAGCACTTGGAGCTTGTTTAAAACACAGATTCTCGGGTCTTAGAGGTTCTGATTCTACAAGTCTCAGGTGAAGCCAAAAACAACAGTCACCTTGAGAGATTAGGACAGCAGTTTCTTCATCTCAACACTTCTGACACTTTGGGCCTGATCATTCTTTGTTGTGGGCATTGTCCTAACCCCGGCATTACAGGACATTTAGCTAATCTGGCCTTCACCCCACAGATGCCTGTAGCATACACAGCACTCCCTGTTGTGACCACCAAACATGTTTCCGGATATTGCCAAATGTCTCCTGGAGGGCAACTGAGAAACAAGGCAGAGACTGTCTAAAGATGACACATTTTAAGCAATGTCATCCTTAATCAAAAAGATAAAACAATATGATAAAAGTAGAAAAATATAGATTTGTATGAGTATCCATTATTCAAATAAACATGCTTCCCAAAAAGGAAATCTGATTAGCCACTATAAACTCCTGACAACTCAGCTAAGCTTTTGAGTCAAAGCTCTTCTTATGTAATTTTAACTTGAAGATTCTCTCCCTAGCTTCTATTTTAGATTATTTTTAATTAACTTCACTGGCATTTTGCATCCTGCTATGAAAAGTCCGCCTAATAGTCTCAGAGGACTCTCCCAAGAGAGAAGAGTGCATTAAATCACACATTATCACATTAAAGTATATTCTAGCACTCAGCATCCAATGGTCTACATCTTGGCAAATGCAATAGAGTGGGGGGTGGGGGAATAATATGGGGACAAGAACAGGCACAAGTGATTCACAATATCCAAAGCCTATTATCTTCAATGCATCCACTCCGATGAAAAAGTTGTATTGATTCTCTACTTCAACCACATTTCTCACAATGACATATAATATATTTTACAATTTGTGCTTCCACCCTGATTTCTTGCCACTGACTGTGGGTGAGACCTTGGACATGTCTTTTAAGTTCTTTGGGTGTCCTTTCCCTCATCTAAAAACCGAGCAGTTTGGACTACATTATTTCTAAAGATCCCACTAGTTACAAATCGCAAACTTACAAATAAAGCACTCAATTAAAAGGCTCTCTCGATTATATATATTCTACTAACTATGGCACTAAAGAGCAAATACCTACATTTTCAATGTTGCTTGCCAACACGATGAATTATAAAATGCTTAATCAGAAAAGAAAAAATGACAATGAGGAGAACCACATACAAAAGACCTACTCTTTCTTAAAACAAAAACAGGTATGGCCCAAGTTGGCCTTCACCTAGCAAGACAATTATACAGGTACTTTTCATGAGACACTTTCAGGTTAGTCATAAAAAGTGAAATAGTTTTAAATTCCACATTTATTTTTTTATTTTTATTTTTTTTGTGCGGTGGCTGGCCAGTACAGGGATTGAACGCTGGACATTGGTGTTATCAGCACAACACTCCAACCAACTGAATAACTGGTCAGCCCTACTCTCTATTTTCTAATAAAGATCACAAATTTGCTGATCAGAGGTCACATCTAGCCTGCAGCTGTGGTTTGTTTTGTTTTGGCCTGGACAAAAATTATATTTATAGTTGCCAACATTTATAAATGGAGACACGATACATAAAAATCCAAATTCCCAGTATCTCTTGAAATATTGTAAGAGATTAACCCACATGGCAACAATTAGCTAGAATGGAGGAATGTTGTTTCCTGGCTCATGGGCTCTCCACTTCCCCAAACTCCCCACTGCTCCTTATTGTCTGACACCCACCCTGGTTCCTTCTTACAGCCTACAGCATGTAAGCTTATGTCCCTACTCTGTAACAATTTTCAAAATACATAGAAAAGATCTGTAGTGCTTTTTAATACTTTCAAAGCAATAGTAAAGCTTGCAGAATCACAACAAAAAGTTAGAAGTGTTAAGGAGACACAGCTATATTCTGAGTAAGGAAAACTTTCCTAACTCTTAATGCTGATACATGGAATGGGTTATGCTGTAGGTTTCTAACCAACCACCTAAAAGGAGATAGGATGCAATCCCAGATTTGACAGGGAGTTCAAACTAAAGAATTACTAAAATTACTCTGAACTTTAAGCTCATCACAACATAGTAATATGAGTATGTGTACAGATTATACGTCTTTATGCACATACATATCTATGCTTAATTTTGTTTGCAGGGGAAGATGTGATCATATCATTCCTCTTCATGAAATGATATTTTCTGTTAATTTTCATAAACCATTCAGTTTTTCTCACTGACTTTAATATACAGAATTTTAAAATTAAGTTTCAATTAACTAAGCGCCACATCCCACCAGAGAATTATTAAACTATTCTTCAGAAAGGATAATAAAGAATCCAAGGACAAAAGAACTTGAGGAAGGGCTTAAGGGTAGAGTGACCTTCAAGCAAAGCTTCTTCACAAATGTCTTTACCAATAAAACCAACCTAACCATGGCAAGCTACATCTTGAAGCTTTTTCCTTCCCACTTAATCCAAAAAATTTTTTCTTTAAATACAGCTTATAAAATCAACCCATCTGAAATACAATATTTTAACAAGATTCTGAAAATCTTTTTCAAAACTCAACTTTAATTCCATTTATAATTAAATTGTTCCCCACTTAAAGAATGTTTTGAGTCAAAGTTAAACTCATAAAATAGCAATGTCCAATTAAGTCGCTGAAGAAACTAAAGCAATTTTCAGGTACATTAAAAGCCAAAAATTTCCACACTGACAATGTGTGTGTTGTACACAGCAAAAATGCTACTCCAGGCCATTCTTGATGCCCTGCTCCTTAAGGTCAGACCACCACGTGATGCCATACTGCAGGTGAATCAAGTACCACTGCAGGTTCTTCCAGCCGAGTTTAAAAATGCATAGTATTGAAGTGGAATATTGTAGATAGTCACTATTTCTAAATAAAATTGTTTTCCTTGGGTGCTTGATGTTGATTTTTGACATAGGCATTGTTTAACCATAGTGATTAACAGCTCAAGTGTGAGCATAAACAGCCCATCAATGAGTCGATATGACTAGTGAGGGCATGCTTAATGACAGGAAAATGATCGTGTTGACAATACAATGTGTAGAACATGGGCTGCTTCTGGGAAAACATATGTTTATCATTCTAGTTCTCTGATTTTTTTTGCAGCTAATCTTTTTTCTCTGTTTAGAGAAAAGAAATGAGTCACTCTTTAGAAGCAAAAAACAATGATGAACATAATTCAATTTAACAGTCCTGGCTGCCAGAACATTTTAATTTAACCATGGATGTTTTCTGTTTTTACCTATTGTGACTTGAATGTTAACTTCTTCTTTTCCACTTTTTGCTTCCTTAAAAAAAACCCAAGAAGCTCACTACATTATCATTACAGGGACGGGGGGGGGGGGAGAACTATCAGATATGCTTAAAATCAAGAGTATAAAGTAGGTTTTTGAGCCCTGGAAAATTATTCAGTTTATATTGGTGTCAGAACTTTTTAAAATTAGAACCGTCCTCAGAGAAAAATACGTGTGAAGTGTAAGCCCCTTGCTCTCTGTCACTAACGAAAATCTGAAGTATATTACCCTCAAGAGAAGAAAGATTGTCTAACCTGTTTATCAGCTTGTTATGGAAGTTTCCCAGAAACCAGAGTATTTTCTTTTATAGGCTGTATGTGTTTACACTTTGGAAGTACACAAAGGGGCTAATTCATTCTTGGAAAGTGTTTCTTTTAAAGCATGTTTATTTCAAAATAAAAGTTATTGAAAACATATGCATAAGCCATTCCAAAGCAATTGGTCACAGAAACCTGGATTATGAACCGGGTTGCAGAGGAGCCCACAAGAAACAGAAAGATGGAACGAAGAGTGCATGCTTGTTCAGAGAGTAGCAGCAGTCCTGGATCTCATGAGGACACAAAAACTGGACAGACCTAGAGCAGAAGCGTTTCAGAACCCACACATCTGCGACTCAGGCCCAGAAATGCATACGCTTGATAAAGAAGCAATCCTGTCATCCAGTTTCTCCGCAACCAAAGGAAGGGGGAGTGGAGGGACCAACGGATCCCTCCCTCTTATCCGGCTGTTGATCTAGGGCAGGAATCCTGGAGAACTTGCTCAAGTAACGCAAAGCGTGCAAAAGTTCACAACGACACTACGAGGAGGAAATCAGTCCTCACGGCCCCGAATCACCAACCCCACCAGTACCACCAGTACCTGGGCCAGCAAATTTAGGAAGGCGACCACGACAAAGAAGCTTGCAACTTGCAAGCGCGCACTCACCCTGGGCCGGGGAGCCGGGTCGGCCGCAGCCCTCCTCGGCCGCGCGCTGCGGCCCCGCGGGCCCGGGAGCGAGGGCTTCGCCCGCGCCGGACATGGGCCGCGCCGCCGCCTAGCTGGCCGCCCCGCGGGGCGCACGCAGGAAGGGCCGCTGGGTGCAGGGTGCAGGGAACTGACTGCTTCTGGCGGAAAAAAGAAAAAAAACGATGGTTTTCGATAAGAGCGCGCCACCCCAGCGGGACATTCCCTCCCTCTGCCTCCGCGTCCTTCCCCTAAACTCCACCCCGGGGAAGTTTTGATTTGAAACCAGCGAGGAAAACTGTGCCAGCGCAAGTGGACAGCGGCGGAGTCGCAGGGTCGGAGGGGGGAGCGGAGCGGGGAGCGGCTGGGAAGGGAGAGCGGCCTGGGGAGCCGCTCGGGGAGGGGACCCAACCGTCCACGTCCCGGCCCGGGGACCCCACCTACCTCGGCATACCCCACTCGCTCCAAGCCCCTTCCTCCTCCTCCTCTTCCGCCCCAGAAAGTTAGCGGGGCTCCGGCAGCGGCCGCATCTCGCCCCGGTGGCCTGACGCCGGCCGCCCCTGCGCGGCCTCCCCTGCTCCCTCCGGCTCAGCCCAGACGCCGCAGTGGCGGCAACGGCGGCTCCGGTGACTCCGCGCACTCCGCCCCCTCTTTCCAGCCAGCTCCCTCCGGCCGGCTCCCCTCCGCAGGGGACTTGTCCCCGCTCTGCCTCTGTCCCTCCTTCCACCACTCCTAGGCGCCTGAAACACTTCTCCCTCGGTGGCTCCTTTTCATCACATCCGGATCGGGGAGGCCTCGAACTCCTGGCGGGCGGCCCGGAGGCAGGGGGCGGCGCGACCCGGGCTCGGCCGCGCGCCCCCTCGCGACCCGCGACCCGCGCCGTCTGGGTCAGGAGGCCAGAGCCCGGGCGCTCCGTCCTCCCGGGCTGCCCAGGAGCAGGGAGCGGGCTGGTGCCCCGCGACCCAGACGCCCCCCCACCCCGCCCCGAAAGTCACCCCATCCCCTCTCTCCCAACTCCTCGTTCCAGTCCTGCCCCCAAACCAACTGAAGCTCTGGGAATGCAGAATCCTTTAGGGTGGACAAGGAAAAACGAAATAAACACGACGTATGACAGCTAGTTTTCCTGGTGGGACAGAGAAAGAGCGCACTTGAAACCTTGACACACACACACACCCATCCCCCCAGCTGAATATTTAATCTATTAATCTCTAACCCCAGCATGACTTTCATTCTATTTTTCAGTTGTTTATTTCTGTCAAACAGGATCCCTGACCAGGTAAAACCGGTTGCAGTTGCATGAATCCACCTGAGGCATCCAGACAAGCAAGGTTGACACCCTTGAAGATGCCCTGGCTCAGGTCCCTCCTAGTCCGGCCTGTCGCAGGCTGGATGCTCACTGGGACAGTGGCATCTGTGGGAGATAAACTTGTGGTCGGAAGTAAAAAGCTGATCAACTCTGTTTCTAAATGAGTCGTTCTGATCATAGCTTAATCTAATGAGCCAAGAATAAAAGAGTAATTTGCAGATATAAAATAGTTTAATAATATATTCAGATAACTTTTGCTGTTTATTGTGAGTGAAATGCAAAATTCATTTGTAAAAAGCTAAAAGGAACTCACTCTTCTACTCTCTAGGACAAGAGAGGAATCAGAGTGATGTTATCAAAATTGAAGAAAACGAACATTGGATTCACCTTCTCTCTGTGAAGTATCATTAATATCCCAGAAATTTAATTTCTTCAAAAAGCCCATTGGAATTGATTCCAACTGAAGGGAAGGATCCATTTCTTACCTTTAAAGAGTCAACACATTCTAACTTGATTTCAATTGTCCTGAAAAAAAAAAAACAGCCTTCGCAGTTTCTGATGACAGTCATTCAGACCATACTCCCCAAAAGACAAATGACATTTTGCCCAATGACCTATAACTAACAAATGCCTTTTTTTCTTTTTGGAATTCAGAGATTTCAGAAATACTAGGTATAAAAGTACCTTAACTCTTCTGAAAACTTGTCTAGGGGCCTGGACTATTTGGAATCTACTTGATGGAGGCAGATCAGTTCTGAGGATGACTGCATTTACATTCCAGAACAAACATTTAGGGAGGCTCACTGTCTACTGCAGCATAATCTCTACTCAGAGTAGTTGGTTAGAAAGCAGCTGCTCTAGAAAATTCTGTTTTATCTCCTTTATCGTATATTTCCCTGCCCTGTTTTTAAAACTTTCTCACAAAGATGTTAAGGTCCGTGATATCAAGAAGTTATAACACTCATCTAGAAAGTCATAGTCAAGGATAAATATTTGCTCATTTAATTCCACACAGTACTTAATGTTGCACAAATGGTGGGTGATTCAATAAATATTCATTGAATGAAGTGTAAACATCTTACTCTTCAATGGGGAAGAAATAAAATTCAAATAAAAATATTAGAAACAAATGAGAGGCTGTGTCATAGAATTACCAAGATGGTCAAAAGCCGTATCTTGTTCATCTGTGTGACTTTGGGCAAGAGAGTCGACCTCTCTATGCCTTGATTTCCTCATAAAATAAGAATAAGAGAAACTCTTCATAGAGTTTTCTTATGAGGACTAAATATGGTAAGTCTCCTATAGCATTTGGAAGAAAGTCAGACATGGGGAAAAGTGCTCAAAAATATTAACTATTATTACTATTGCACAGCAGAAGCATTTTTGATGGGTAAAGTTGAGCATGACATAATGACTATATCACAAGAGCCACATCATTATACCAGGTAATCATGCCATACACTTTACATAAATTATCTCAATGATTTCTTATATCAATACTATTAGTTTGCCAGGATTGCACCTCTAGGATTAGAGAGCAGGGCCGTCTGACTTCAAGGCTATACCGCTTTTTTAGGTAAACTCAGGCCTTCTCTCTGGGGGACCTAGGAGTGGTCTTAGCGCCATAACCCCAGTATCTGATAAACCAGGGGTTGAGTGTGGGCTCCTGAGTGTTCCCCAAGCCACCCGTTTGCCCATCTCTTGCTGCACTTGCTCATTCTGTCACTCTGATGGTTTAGCTTGGTTCCTGATGAGCACTCTGGTACCCTCAATCCCTCTTCCTCTCACTCAGCGTCTTAGACTAAATGTTTGTCCCCCTCCCCCAATTCATATCTTGAAATCCTAGCCCCCAAGGTGATGGTATTAGGAAGTGAAGCCTTTGGGAGGTAATTAGGGTCATGAGGGTGGAGCCCTCATGAATGGCATTAGTGCCCTTATAAAAAGACACAGAGAGCTTGCTTTTCTGCTTTCTGCCATGTGAGGACCTAATCACCTCCCAAAGGCCCTACCTTCTAATACTGTCACCTTGGTGATTAGGATTCAACGTATGAACTTTGGTAAATCATAAACATTCAGACCATAGCCGGGGATATATATTACTGTTTATAAAAGCCACTGTATTATAATGTGTAAATAATTTGGAGGCACTGAGATTGGAGCTAGCGAGTCCAATTAAGAGGCAAGGGATGGTACTGGCCATGCGAATGAAGCCAAATACCCAGGGATAAAAGATAGAGGACCTTCTGTGTCCAGGTGGATGGTGGTAGTGCCACCGACAGAGATGCAAACATTCAAGAGAAGTAGGTTTTGTGGTAAGCCGCTAAGTTAATTATGCCAATAATGAGGTACCTGTGAGATGGCTAATTGGAACTCCCCAGTAGGCTGCTGGATATGTGTCTGGAATACAGGCCCATAAATGGTTCTTTACTAGCTAGCAGGCTATAAGAGTGCCCAAGGTGAGTGTGCAGAGTAAAGGCAGAGGGCCTGAGACATAGCTATGCCCTGAAACTCAATCCAAATTGTTCTCATTAGCCCCTCTCTCTTTCTCCACATCCTTCCCAGTGTCATAATACTGCATGGCTGGGAGAATCATCATTATTTTAGGTACTAATATTGCCAGTGCCACTTCCTATCTCAGATACCTGTGGATGGGTTTCATCAAGTGAGATTTTGCCGTATCTCATACTACAGTGATTTGGATGGGTAGAAACTTTCCATGGGAACCAGCCTTCTAAGTGGAGCTACATCTCCTAGTCTTGGATCAAAGTCCCCTGCCTTTGAAATCCCAGTGTGCTTTACAACTATTCCTGCCTAGTGATGTGCACACAAATGATGACATAATATGCGACCATGTTGTGGAAGAGGTCTGACATGAGCGAAGCAAATAAAATAAAGTACTAATTAAAAGTGTTCCTCAAGCATCCCTGTGGACTACTTAATCTTCATCATTCATTCATTAAACATTCATCAAACGTTTATTGTGCACTTACTATATGCTAGGCCACATGTTAGGCCCTGGAGATAAAGAAATTTTGTTTGATGTCTTGAAAAGTAGCTAAATTAGTTTCCACTTGGGCAGAGGCTTAACTGCCTAGCTAAAGTCAAAGTTAATACCCTTTCCTAAATGTCTAAGCCAGAGGTCTGTAAAGTGGAGTGTGTAATGGTGCGTGCACTCCAGGGACAATCCTCTGGAATGTGGGCAGAAAATATTATAATGAGCATTCATATTTGCTTTTATATTATTTTTAATTTCTATCTTTTGAGTATGTTTTATAAGGTAAACAACATATCAGCACAAAAGTACTTGTGTATAATTTATAAGTAAACATACATTAGGAGTTCGAACTCAAATATTTTATCAGTTGCTTTCTTTTCAAAAAAATGGCTTAAATGCTTTAAATCATTTAAGATACATTCGTTCAGTCATTCCCAGATTGTACCAAGGGTAGTTTTTCCAGAAAACACATATACTGCATTTATTTAGAAGCACGACTTTAGCAATCCCGAAACCCAAGGACCTAGAAATCAGGAAATAACACCAACCTACTAAATACCTAAAATAACCTTTACAAACTTCGCAAAGTGCTAACAAAAAGCCATCAACTTTCTCAAATCCTACTTTTGTGCTTGTGAACATACACTTTTAAGTAAACTTCATGTTCTATTGTTTTAGCTCACAGTATACCAGGAGAAGAAAATTTAGGGCACAGGGGCTGTGAGGAGATGAGATTAGCTAAGGGAGCTATTAGGTCAGGAAAAATGACAGCAGGAAAAATGACAGCTGACAGACAAGGAAGATACAGGAAAATAAACATGTCATAACAACACCTTTGTGAATTCAGCTCAGTGAAATAGTCAATGTTCTTAATGAGGGCCTGAGTCATTAAGGAATGAGTCAGTTATGTGACTGTTTTAGGGAGCCAGGTCAATATTTTACATTTTAGGAAAAATTCCATCAAAAATGTTCAAATAAAAAGTGTTACTACTTGAAAGAGTAAATCTCACAGAATGACAATTTTATAGCTGCAATGGAAATTAGCCAACACGATTCTGGGCCAAGTTATTTTAATGGTATTCCTCCACCACCTAGTACTGTGTTCTAAGAGGAGAGGTCAAATGAACAGGTTTCTGGAGTCCCATTCTTATTTCAAATAGAACACTTTCTTCTTTTTGTCCATAATGTGTTGGTCTTTCTCTTAAATTCTTAACTAAGAAAACTGGTTCTTCCATTTTTTAAAAGTTTGAAAATCACCAGTCTTGCCCAACTCCTTTATATGAAATACAGAGAAACATAAAGACATAAAATTCATTCATGAGGTTCAACAAAAATTTGTTGAGTGTTTACTATATGTCAAACCACAAGAAACCACACCACGGTTTCAAAAATAGAGGAAATACTGTTTCAGTCTGCTGGTAGCCATAGTCTATAAGGTGAGGGTCAGGGGAAGGCAGCAGAGTAGGAAAGGGACAGGCACATAAATAATTACCAAACTACAGGAGCACAAAGAAAGTAGCACCTAACTCTGCTCAGGCGTGGGTGGGGGGAGTCAAGGGATGTTTCAGAGAGATGATACCAAGTAGAGTATTGCTGATGAGTAAAAGTTTGCCTGGCAAAGAGGTTAGGGAATTCCAGATAGAAGAAATAACACCTGCAAGGGCACAGAAATGTGAAAGCCCCAGAGAAGTTAAATGACTTGGCAAAGGTCATTTAGTGGGTTAATTACAGAACCAGCACTAGGAGGCTACATTTCCTGACATTCAGGCTTCTTGCTCCATTATCTGGACAATGCATGTAAATGAATCCATCACATCTAAGTGGTAGAGAAAAAAGGGCACACCTGATGTATATTTAGGAGTTCCAAAGATTTTCTGTTGTGATGTGACCTAAGAACTGGACACAAAATCTCCTATTGCTGAATTAGCTTGACTTGTCCTTCCCCTTCAAGCTCTCAGTTAGTGTCCCTTTCAGTTGACTGACTTCTCTGGCCTGGGGCATTGGCCTTCAGGGTCTCTCCTTGCTGTCACTGTACTTTCCTGCTTGTGATTTGAAGGAAGGGAGGGAGATGTTCAGGTACACAGTGGCATATGTCAGCTAAGAACAACATGACTGAAGACAAGAATGAAAATGGACATAACATATGCAGTAGACAATAAGCAGATTTTTACTTCTTAGAAAGT